GGGGGGGGGTGCGGGGTTCCCTTGGCTTTTCGGGCCGAGCCGGCAGCGGAGGGGGTAGACATCATTTGGGGGATCGCTTGGCCGCCTTGGTGCGAAGGATGCTTCTCCAGAGGGCAAAAATCAGGAGCGGGGAGGCGGGAGAGACGCCGCAGCTCTCCGACCCGCTGCAAGATCGGATTTCTAAGCGAGGAACTCTTCCCGCGACGGAAAAGGGTTTTAGTTATCTCGGCGGGTGGCTTTTGAGGAGTGTAAGGCGCTCTTTAAAGAATATCCTGTGCGTCGGAGGCTCGAGGAGGGCTGATTTGTACAGCTGACTTCAATATTTCGCCTAAATGTGTGTGTTTCCTTTCCTCCTGCAAGGTACGGGCTCTAGTAAGTAGGTGGGTTCTTGTTGCCTCTTCTGCCGCAGCCGCTTAAAAATAGGGGAAAAAAATGCCCGAATCGCTAAATAGAGGTGAGCAAAGATGTTTCGCCTGGGCGCGAGAACAGCGCGTTTAGACGGCAATGGAGCGCTTCAATAGGAAGGAGAAGCAAAGCGGGGCGATTTACCTCTGTAACCCGCGGCTTTGCAGCGAGTCTGACTCGCTTCTCCGTTCCGGTCGCCCTCGTTGTCCCGCGGAAGGCCGGTCCAAGCTGCCCTACCTGCTCGCGTTGTCCGGGCTTCCTAAAAATCAAGCGAAAAAACCTAAGATTTCGCGCGGTCTGAAGCACTCCAAAAGGCTGAAAAGGGAGGGAGCGGACAGCACAGAAATCCCGAGGGAAGTGGAGATGGAAAGACCTGGCGGCGGGGAGTAAGGAGGACGCGAATGGGAGTGTGCCGAGCAGTAATGACTTCAGAAGGCCAGCAGAGGGGCTGCAGTTCCCTTGCTTCGTTAGGACTCGTTGAAGTGACCCGACGGTCTCCTCGAGTTGATTTCGAATACTTTGATTTCTTGGCGTGATTAAAATAAGCTCGTTCCTCCCTGGCGGCCGCTGGGGTGGGAGCGTCTGCCCTGCGATGCCGTTACCAGCCTGGTGCTCCGAAAGCTTCTGAAAATAGAAGCTTTCTGGTAAAACACGAACTTAAATACTCAATTTTGTGCTGGGGTCTAAAATATCCCTGCAGGTTTCACTTTTTCCTTGCCTAGCTCATTCGGCTTCAATGATCCACCCGTTTCTGGTGGGAATTCAGAGCTTTTGGAGTGGGGGAAGAGGAGATCCGTTCCCCCTTCTGGAGGCTGCTGGGGAGAAGGGCGGATCGCCGTGTCTCCGGGCTGGCGCGCAGGCAGTCCGGCCCGATCCGGGC